CATTGAATTTTGACTAGGTGATGAAGTAATGCACAAGAGAGAAAGTTTGGACAACTATATTCAAAGTGGTTAAAACTATTTAGAAATGTGTTATCTCACAAACTGGAAGTTCCACAATGGGTCAAGTTTTGGCGTAGTTCAATGATATCATTAGGTATTCAGGTTCTTCCTGTTCCTCTCTTCTGCCATTCTCCATATTGACTTCATTCTTATACCGGCAGCAAGATGGCTGCAGCTCATCCAGAAACAACAATGATCAGAGAAAGAGAACAGAATGGTTCTCTCTTAGGAGTAAGGAGATTGCTGTGTCAATACGGCTCCACTCATAGGTGATCGGTAGAATGGTGGGGAAGGGAAATCTACCTGCTGGGCAGAACTTCGAGTCATATATTTGGTTGTCCCCTTCATCTGGAACTTGTTTGCCAGGAAGAAGAGAAAGGCTGTGGCAAGGATCTATGCTGACTCAGGGCAGAGGCTAATGTTGCGGCTGGATGGTCTGGGTCTTGGAAGGAGCAAGTTTGGAGGATTGACAGCAAGGAAATTTGGGAAAGGAGTATGTGAGTTGATCTAGAATATAGGTCTTGCATATGAATATCAAAAGGTTCTCTTTGTAGGAGAGGTGCCAAATAGTCAGATGGACTTAATGCCCATTCAGTGATCTTGGGGACAGAAATGAAAATATGCATGGACTCAATAATATGAATTTCCTCTCACCAAAACTTACTGTTACTACTGCTTGGATGCCCAATTTATCAGCAGCAGTCGTTAACCCTGGGACCCTGATGTGGTATAATATGCTATGGGTACCATCCAGCCATCTTGGGACAGTTCCATTACTTCGAACTCCTTTTATTACAAATTGGACAGTGACTTTTTTCTTAACTTGAATAGATCGGAGTTGTTTGTTTTCCTGTTCACAAACAGGAATTGGATTTGTTTTCCTGTTTACAGTAACTCTGCTAGCCCTACCATCTATAGATTTATTGAATACCTTATTGAAGCACTATTGTATCTAACACAACATTGCTTCCATCGAAAGAACTCACATTCCCCTGATCTAAGTACAACAGTGAACTGAAGCCTGTTGACCTCACCGGTTTTACCACATCCCACGTCATCTAGAAGAAGACAACCTAATAAAACAATGAAATCATCTCTTATAGACCTACTTATGACATCCCATAATCCCCAAAAACTTTGTGTTTTGCTTCCTATTCTCACAGCTTCGGTTTCTGCTATTTTAGAAGTAGAAGCTTATTATTACTCAATATTTCTTTCAGGGAACACAATAATAATTCCACTCAATTAGAAGCTGCAACTGTCACCTCATGCTGGTAGGCAAACCAGCAAAAAAAAAAAAAGATAATTACTACCTTGGCTAGGGCGATTGATCCTGACTATCATTATATGTTATCTTATATATTATAGGAATGAACTAGTTTGCTTTTATTACCCTACTGAGACATCATTTATGTTATTTCCACTATAACAGTGAACAATGTTACACCTGTCTCCTTGCACACATGCCACTTTTAGATACCTAAAAGTGGAATTCCTAGGTCACAGAATATGTGAATATTTAAGTTTACAATGTGTTGCCAAAAAATCACCAAAGTGGGTCGGGCACAGTGGCTTACGCCTGTAACCTCAGCATTTTGGGAGGCCGAGATGGGCTGATCACCTGAGGTCAGTTCAAGACCAGACTGGCCAACATATAGTGAAACCCTGCCTCTACTAAAAAATATAGAGTTAGCTGGGGCGTAGAGGCACATGCCTATAGTCCCAGCTACTTGGGATGCTGAGGCAGGAGAATCTCTTTTACCCAGGAGGTGGACATTTCAGTGAGCTGAGATAGCACCACTGGACTCCAGCCTGGGTGACAGAGCGAGACTCTGTCTCAAAAAAAAAAGAACTCACCAAATTGGTTGTACCCATTTGTAACCCCAGCAACAATGACCAAAGTCTTATTTCTATATATTTGTGTGGATATTTATTGATTTTTGCTAATCTGATTAGTGTGACATGATATCTCATTATTGATTTAACTAATATTCCCATGATTACCTGAGGTCAGGCATCTTTTCATGTCTGTCTGTGGTAATATTTGAAAAAAAAACCCGTCTATTCTGAACAGTAGTTACATTGTGAGCAGTGGTATGTATCATCTCATGAAAAATTCTTGTACTCATGCCCATGCAATACATTTTTATCTCTAAATAGGTCTGGGTTGTTTAGTATCAAATGTAGCTCCCTTGAGGGTATAGGACAAAAGAGGAAAGCCAGTGCAGGATTTTAAATTTACATCTGATAATCTATAAAATGGCCACTTCACATGGCTTTTTTTGTGTGTGTGACCTAAATCTAGAATTAACGTTGTATAAACCAGGAAGTGCTGAGTTGCAATCTTACAGATTTTGTCCCTTGAGTTCCTGTTAGTAATTTGGGTTTCTAATGGTATGACGTGGATTACATTGTAGTAGAACTGCCATGCTTTACATGTTTGCGGCAACCTCAAATGCTATAGTCAAGTATGAGTCATAGCATGCCAGAGCTGGATGGTATCTTCCCAATCAGGCTATCCACAGCCCCTAACTGGTAGATGGGGGAAACTAAGGGCTAAGAGAGCTCAACCTGTGAGGCGGCAAAGAGCTGAGTTCCCAATGGTGTGCTCCAGCTTGATTTTCTGAGACTTCAGGGTGGCTGTGCGGTGTCTGGTCATACAATCATTTCCCTCCTGTGCTGTGACATAAACACATTGCTGCTGTTGGGAGGCAATTTTCCATGGATTTGTTGAGTTTCTGCATGCCTCAGAAGAGCTTTTGTCCTTTGTCTCTGACTCAGTAGTCTTGCATCTTCTGCCAGCATCTATAAAACTGCAACTAGTTATCTTTTTGCTTGAAAGCAGAGTAAAATCTTAGGTACTTCACAGTTCCTCACAGCTGCAAGCAGTAGTTTCAGAAGCTATTAATAAATGTTTTGTGCAATAGCAATTCTCTCATCAAATTAATTTTGGAAAAGCCGAAGCCAAAAAAATGATTTAAAAAACTGTAAAAGGAAAATGGGTTCTTTTCCTGTTAGACTCTTGAATAAAGGAAAGAGCATTATGAATGGCTCTTGGGCATGGGGCTGGGATGGATGGAGTTTGCTAAGTTTCAAGAATTATTGGAATTCCTCTGTGGGATGTCTAGTAACACTGGAAATAACAATAGAATAAAATTAGTAGAAACTCCTTTGGAAAGTGCATATAATATAATTACGAATAAGGATGGAAGTGCAGTTGAGGATGGTTTTCATATCCCTTGTAAACTAGAATGTGGTAGGCTAACAGTTATGGAAGCATTACCTACACAGTCCTTTTGCAGGTGTGGCCAAATCAACGAAGGTAATGGGATTTGGCCCAAGGGTCAGATTTTAGAGCCAAAATGGGGTCTAGCAACAATGTACAGCCCTCACATTTTACACGAGACACCAAGGTCTAGTGGGAAGAGGACATTTACTCAGAGCCACCCAGTTCATGGGTGCTAATTATGGCAATAAAATGTAAATGATTTTAGTCACTCTTCAGTGTTCCTCACACATTATTTGTTCTCATATTGTCCTATTTTATTTATTTGTAACTCAGTTTCAAGGTCTCATAAGGCAAATAGCGTTTTGTCCCACACTTAAAGGCTTCTTCTACTAAAGTGTAACAATCTATTGAATATCTATGATATTCACTAGTCACTCTTCACATCCAGCACTGCCCAAGACAACTTTTTGCCATGATGAAAATACTCCGGCTGTGTGTGGTGGCTCACGCCTGTAATGCCAGCACTTTGGGATGCCGAGGTGGGGGCATCACCAGAGGTCAGGAGTTCCAGATCAGCCTGGCCAACATGGTGAAACCCCTGTGTCTACTAAAAATACAAAAATTAGCCAGGCGTGGTGGGATGCACCTGTAATCCCTGCTATTCGGGAGGGTGAGGCAGGAGCATTGCTTGAACCCGGAAGGTGAAGGTTGCAGTGAGCCAAGATCGTGACCTGCACTCCAGCCTGGGTGATAGAGCAAGACTCCCTCTTAAATATATATATATATATATATATATATATATATGTATATATATATGTACACACACACATATACATATGTGTATATATACACGTATATATATACATATGTGTGTGTGGTATATATATACATATATATATATATATATATATATATCTCAGGAGTTCAAGATCAGCCTGACCAACATGGTGAAACCCCTGTCTCCACTAAAAATACAAAAATTAGCCAGGCATGGTGGGATGCACCTGTAATCCCAGCTATTCGGGAGGCTGAGGCAGGAGCATTGCTTGAACCTGGAAGGTGAAGGTTGCAGTGGGCCAAGATCGTGACCTGCACTCCAGCCTGGGTGATAGAGCAAGACTCCCTTTTAAATACACACACACACACACACACACACACACACACACACACATATATATATATTGCCAGTGTTCAGGATGGTAGCCATGAGCCACATGTGGCTATTGAGCACTTGTTAATGTGGCTACTGTGATTGAGGAACTGATTTCTTAATTTCATTTAATTTTAAGTAGTTGAAATTTACATTGAAACAGCCACATTTGGCTAGCAGCTGCTGTCGCCAGTGCTGTAATGACTAACTGTAGTGACTGTACACTACAGTATGCACTCTAGGAATGAGGAGGAATTAACGGCCAAGGCTGGAGTCTGAATCCGAGTTACTCCTTTTTGTTGATCTATGACAAGCAGTCATGCCACTGGTGCAGGCCTCAAGCCCCGTTCACTTGTTCTGCAAGCATTTAACAAGCATCTAGACCCAGGCTTTGAGTAGGAGTATGGAGGTGCACCAAACACTGGCCACGTGGTTATAAGGGTCTGGGCCTGTGGAATGAAGCAGAAGACATCATTGTGAAGGAATCAGTTTCAGATATCGCGAGGGTTGGCACAAGTCACGCAAGTGTAACTGCCACAGAGTCACGGGGTCATGGGCTGCACCGGAACTTCGGGGTCATGGACTGACCCGGAAGCTTATGGGTCACAGACCGTTGGACAGTGAGGCGGTGTCTCTCAGCAAGGCAGTACCCGGAGCCATGCCTTCAGATCGGAGGCAAGTGAGGGGGAGGAATAGGTCAAGGACCCATGCGGCTCGAATAAAGATAACTCCTGAGGTGGTGGAAAGCGGGTCGTATCCCGAGAGCAGCTATCCCGAGCATGAGGCTGCAACGGGTAATGAGCCTAGGCCAGGATGGCGGGCGTCTCTACATGGCTTCTGGGCTGAGACTCGCCGCTTTCTGAGGAACATATGGCTCCACAGACGCTTCTGGCTGTTCACGCTGTCCATCTGGATCCTGCCGTTAGTGTGCTACTACTTGTACTCCGGTGAGTGGTGAGGGCTGGCTCCCGGCCAGGCAGGGAAATGCTGGGGGACTGGGGGTTGGGGACGGGGGACCGGGAGGGGTGGGTGTGGCGACCTGTGGGCACCAACCAAAGGCTTTCCTGCCCCCTCCTGTCCGCTCTCCTCCCAAAAGCCTTTATGGCCCTATCCTCAGCAGTCCTCCTTACAAAGTCCTGCCCTCTCTCACCTCCCTTCATAAAGACCTGCTCTTACGCCTGCGCGGCAGGAAGTCTTTCCCGCCTAAACTCACTTCTGGAAGACCTTCCCTTCCCAACTTCCCCTAACAAAAGCCTTCCCTTCCTTACTTCCCTTCACAAAATACTAACCTCCCTTGTAGCCCCATTTTTAAAAATTGAGGACCAGACCGGGCGCGGTGGCTCAAGCCTGTAATCCTAGCACTTTGGGAGGCCGAGGCGGGTGGATCACGAGGTCAAGAGACCGAGACCATCCTGGTCAACCTGGTGAAACCCCGTCACAAAAATTAGCTGGGCATGGTGGCGCGTGCCTGTACTCCCAGCTACTCGGGAGGCTGAGGCAGGAGAATTGCCTGAACCCAGGAGGCGGAGGTTGCGGTGAGCCGAGATCACGCCATTGCACTCCAGCCTGGGTAACAAGAGCGAAACTCCGTCTCAAAAAAAAAAAAAAAAATGCAAAATAGGATACTACGGCCAGGCACGGTGGCTCACGCCTGTAATCACAGCACTTTGGGAGGCCGAGGCGGGTGGATCACGAGGTCAAGAGATCGAGACCATCCTGGTCAACATGGTGAAACCCCGTCTCTACTAAAAATACAAAAAATTAGCTGGGCATGGTGGTGCGTGCCTGTAATCCCAGCTACTCGGGACGCTGAGGCGGGAAAATTGCCTGAACCCAGGAGGCGGAGGTTGTGGTGAGCCGAGATCGTACCATTGAGCTCCAGCCTGGGTAACAAGAGCGAAACTCCGTCTAAAAAAACAAAACAAAACAAAAAACTGAGGACCAGGTGCTGTGGCTCACACCTGTAATCCCAGTTCTTTGGGAGGCCGTGGCAGGAGGATCTCTGTAGGTCAGGTGTCCAAGACCAGCCTGGCGAACGTGGTGAAACTCCATCTCTACTAAAAATAGAAAAATTAGCCAGCATGGTGGTACACACCTGTAATTCCAGCTACTCAGGAGGCTGAGGCAGGAGAATCACTTGAATCCAGGAGCCGAGATGGCGCCACTGCACTCCAGCCTGGTGACAGAGCAAGACTCCGTCTCAAAAAAAAAAAAAAAAAAATTGAGGTGATATACACATAACATAAAATTAACTATTTTATAGTGAACAATTGAAGGAATTTAGTTCATGTAAGTCTGCAACTGTCACTCCTATGTGGTTCCACCACACCAAATTAAAACCTACACCCATGAACCAGTTACTGCCATTTCCCCAGTCCATAATGGTACTTCATTCCTTTTTCTGGCTGATTAGTATTCCATTGTAGGGATCTAGTACATTTTATTCTATTTTTTGAAATTTACCGAATTTGGGTTGTTTCCACTTTGGGCCTATTGTAAACAATACTGCTACGAGCATTTGTGTACAAGTTCTTTTGTAGACTTGTTTTGAATTCTCTGGGAGTAGAATTGCTGGGTCATATGGGAACTCCATTGATCTTTTTGAGGAAGTCCCACGTTGTTTTAGGAAGTGGTTGAACCATTTTACATCTTCACCAACAATGTTTGAGGACTTCAATTTCACCAATATCTGTTATCTGTCCCCCTTTTTAAAAATTATAGGCATCATAGTGGGTGTGAAATAGTATCTCATTATGGTTTTGATTTATATTTTCCTTATGCCTAATGACATTGAGTATGTTTTTATATGCTTGTTGGCCATTTGTACATCTTTGGAGAAATGTCTTTTCAAATTCTTTGACCATTTTTAATTGGATTGTTTTTGGTTTTATTCTTGACCTTTAAGAATTCTTTATATTTTCTGGATACTGGACCCTTATCAGATACATGATTTGCAAATGTTCCCTCCCATTCTGTGGGTAGTTTTTTCACTTTCTTGATAATGTCCTTTGATGTAAAAATGTTTTTAATTTTGAGAAAGTTCAATTTCTCGATTTCGTCTTTAGTTGCTAGTGTTTTTGAGTCATATCTAAGGATCCATTGCTGAATCCAAGGTCATGAAGATTTCTTCCATGTTTGCTTCTAAGAGTTTTATGGTTTTAACTCTTATATTCAGATTGTTGATCCATTTTGAGTTGACTTTTGCAAATGGTGTATGTTAAGGGTCCAACTTCACTATTTTGCATGTGGATAACCAGTTGTCCCAGCACCACTTGTCGAAGGGACAATTTTTTCCTCAATTGGGTGGTCTTGGCAGCCCTGTCAAAAGTCAGTTGGTTATAGATTTACAGGTTTAGTTCTGGACTTTCAATTCTATTCTGGTCTATGTGTCTATCCCTATGCCAGTACCATATTCTTTTGATTACTGCAGCTTTGTAGCAAGCTTAGAAGTTGGAATGTGTGAGTCCTTCATTTTGTTCTTTTTATCCATATTGTTTTGAGTATTCCTGGCTCCTTATAAGTCTGTATAAATTTGAGAGTCAGCTTTTCCATTTCTGGAAAAAAACCGTTGGAATGTTGATAGAGTTGGCATTGAATCTGTAGATTACTTTGGGAAGTATTGCCGTCTTAACAATATTAAGTATTCCAATCTATGACCACGAAATGTCTTTCCATTTATTCATGTCTTCTTTAATTTATTTCAGTAATGTTTTGTAGTTGTCAGTGTACAAGTCTTTAACTTCCTTGGTTAAATTTATTTTTAGATATTTTATTCTTTTGGATGCTATTGGAAATGGAATGGCTATCTTTTTCTTTTCAAATTGTTTGTCGGTAGTATATAGAAGCACGGCTGATTTATACCTGTTGATCTTGTACATCATAAAATTGCTAGATTTATTTATGAGCTCTAATAAGTTTTCTGTGGACTTTTTGGATATTCTAGATATAGAATCATGTTATCTGTAAATAGAGAGATTTTTCTTTTTACTTTCCAGTTTGGATGCCACTTAGCTCTTATTGCCTAATTGCCCTTGCTAAAATTTCCAGCACAATATTGAGTAGCAGTGATGAAAGCAGGCATTCATGTTTTAGAGGAAGCTTTCAGTTTTTCAACATTGATTATAATGTTAGCTGTATATCAGCTCTTCATCATGTTTTAGGAAGATTCATTCTGTTCATAGTTTGCTGAGTGATTTTTTTTCATGACAGTGTTTTAGATTTTGTCATATGCTTTTTATGCATCAGTTGAGATATCAGATTGTTTCCCTTTGTGTTTTATGTTAAATTATTTTCTTATGTTGAACTGTCTTTATATTAGTGGGATGAACCCCGCTTCATTGCATATAATCCTTGTAATACTTGGTTTGCTACCATTTTGCATTTGATTTGCTACTATTTTGCAGGAGAATTTTGTATCTATATTCATGAGTGATATTAATCTGAAGTTTTCTTGGGGTGTCTTTGTCCTTGAGATCAGGTTAATACTGAACTCCTAGAATCAGTTAAGTTTTCTTCCTCTTCTATTTTCAGAAGGTTTTGAGAAACATAGATGTCAATTCTTCTCTAAGTATTTGGTAGAAATCACCAGTGAGGCGATCTGCTCCTAGCCTTTTTTTGTTTCAACATTTTATTTTTGAATTATTATTATTATTTTTTACTTTAAGCTCTGGGATACATCTGCTGGATCTGCAGGTTTGTTACATAGGTATACATGTGCCATGGCGGTTTGCTGCACCTCTCAAGCTGACATCTAGGTTGTAAGCCCCGCATGCATTAGATGTTTGTCCTAATGCTCTCCCTCCCCTTCACCCCCATCCTCCGACAGGCCCCTGTGTGTGATGTTCCCCTCCCTGTGTCCATGTGTTCTCATTGTTCCACTCCCACTTATGAGTGAGAATATGCAGTGTTTGGTTTTCTGTCCCTGTGTTTGTTTGCTGAGAATGATGGTTTCCAGTTTCATCCATATCCCTGCAAAGGACATGAACTTGTCTTATCCTTTTTTATGGCTGCATAGTATTCCATGGTGTATATGTACCACATTTTCTTTATTTAGTCTATCATTGATGGGCATTTGGATTGGTTCCAAGTCTTTGCTATTGTAAATAGCGCTGCAATAAACATTCGTGTGCATGTTTCTTTGTAGTATAATGATTTATACTCCTTTGGGTATACGCGCAGTAATGGGATTGCTGGGTCAAATGGTATTTCTGGTTCTAGATCCTTGAGAAATCGCCACACTGTCTTCCACAATGGTTGAACTAATTTACACTTCCACCAACAGTGAAAAAGCATTTCTCTTTCTTCTCATCCTCACCAGCATCTGCTGTTTCCAGACTTTTTAAAAATATATATATATACTTGAAGTTCTGGGGTACATGTGCAGAACATGCAGGTTTGTTACATAGGTATACATGTGCCATGGTGGTTTGCTGCACCCATCAACCTGACACCTACATTAGCTATTTCTCCTAATGCCATCTCTCCCTTAGCCCTCACCCCTCAACAGGCCCGGATGTGTGATATTCCCCTCCCTGTGTCCATGTGTTCTCATTGTTCAACTCCCACTTATGAGTGAGAACATGTGGTGTTTGGTTTTCTGTTCTTGTGTTAGTTTGCTGAGAATGACGGTTTCCAGCTTCATGCATGTCCCTGCAAAGGACACAAATTTATCCTCTTCTGTGGCTTCATAGTATTCCATGGTGTATACGTGATGCCTTTTCTTTATCTGGTCTATCATTGATGGGCATTTGGGTTGGTTCCAAGTCTTTGCTTTTGTGAACAGTGCTGTAATAAACATATGTGTGCATGTGTCTTTATAATAGAATGATTTATAATCCTTTGGGTATATACCCAGTAATGGGATTGCTGGGTCAAATGGTATTTCTGGTTCTAGATCCTTGAGGAATGGCCACACTGTCTTCCACAATGGTTGAAATAATTTGCATTC